AATAGTACAAGAATCACATCAATACATAAACCAAACATCACAAAACAAACCAAAACAGAATTGAAAAGGCATGATGACATGAGAGAAAAAACTGAATGCATGACCAAAACAAAACATATACTAAACTCTAGACAAAAACGACTCAATCTCAACGTCTTCCACAACCCGCAGGTCTTGTTCCACAAAACCATCCTTGACCATCACTCTCAAACTGGCGATCAAAGAAGTCACAAATTTCTTGATAAAGCCGTGAATAATGATGGTGGTCTTCATTTTGGGCAACAATCACGTGATTGACCCTAGCTATAGTAGCAACAGTGTTTGCATCCATGTCATCTTTTAAAGACATCAGCTTCTTAGTCACAAATGATGCAAAATCCTCAAAGTTTGCATCTTGAGTCTTCATGTGTTCTTGCATAATGCAGAGCTGTTTGTTGCACCTTAATTTTGATCCTGAATTGCCGAACCATACATATCATTGCACTTTCATCATTTGTGCATCATATTCATTATTCATGGCATCTAACCATTGTGCATACGAATAAGCGCCTTTTGCTTCTAGTTCTGTTTTGTCTAAGCTTAGGTATTACAAGATCGAATCAAGTCTCAGACAAAGTTATCAAGTCGAGAATGTGATCTGTCTTGGTCAAACATTTGGTTCACTTCAGTATCAAGTTATCAGGCTTTGACAAAGGCAATCGGTTCAAGGTGGATAATCATCAGGATTTAGTTCTCTTTTGATTAGGGTTTGGTACAGAAAGCATTTAGGTTCATATCTCAGGTCACCTGTGTTATAGATCATTGTGAAGGCAGAAATGTCTTAAGTGTGTTTGAGATTTTGAACAAACTGGAGAATCTCTAAATGATTTATTTATTTGCTTATATTGATGCTTCAAACATTGTAAATAAATGTCATCAGTTAGGTACAATTGGACACATTGAAGAAGTTGTTGAATTGGTTGAGTTTCTCTCACATTTCCAATTATCAATCGCAAAACTTATTGACCCAAATGAACATTATAAAGGGTGTGTTCATAGTCATAAATTAACTTTAGATGTGAGGTATGTATCCATGACATCCATAAGCACATATATTATTTGGCCGCATCATTTTTGGCAAAAGGAGGGATTCGGATTTTGCTTTGGACACTTACGATGCATTAAAAAAAACTTGGAAGGTCCAAGCATATACATCTGTGTTGGTGATTTCAAGAAAGCTATGTACATATATGAGGATTTGCTTAATAAAAATCACCCTGAATAAATGTGTTCAATCGTGAATGTGAACGTTCATGATTTTAGTTACTCCAAGTCATGTGCACTTAAGCGTTTGGAAACTGTGGGATAGTTTAATTTAAATGTGCATGCCTACAACATGATTTTAAAGGACTTAACATATTGCAAAATTGTCGCAAGTGATTCTAGAAGTTAAGCACTGCTAGCGTTTCTCGTAATACTTCACAAACCAAGCTAATGTCTCTGAATTGTTCTAATAGTTCCATTTCTTTCACCATAAGCGTTGATAGATGTAAGGACTTCCTACTCAAAGCATCTGCTACCACATTGGCCTTCCCCAGATGGTAACTCAATTCGAAATCATAATCTTTCAAAAACTCCAGCCACCTAAGTTGCCTCATGTTCAACTCCTTTTGATCAAAAAGGTACTTCAAGCTCTTGTGATCACTAAACACCTCGAATCACGACCCATACAAGTAGTGCCTCCACACCTTGAGTACAGCTGCCAATTCTAAGTCGTGCGTCAGGTAATTCCTCTCATGAATTTTTAATTGTCTTGAGGCATAAGTCACCACATGTCTGCCTTGCATAAGTACACCACCCAGTCCTTTATTAGATGCATCACAGTAAACTACAAAAGTCTTGTGTGGGTCTGGCAAAACTAACACTGGCGCCATCGTTAACTTCTTCTTAAGCTCCTGGAGTTATGCCCATGAACACCCCCTCGTGTGTGTTTATAATGCTCTTAATGTAAATGAGAATGTTATATGCGTTATGTCTGTATATGCCATGATATGTCGTATGAATATGATGTGTGAACGTCTGGCGTAGGGAAAATAAATCCAAGTAATCAAGGATTTAGAACTTCTGATAGTCTTGACCTCCCCGAGCATTTTCTAGGAATTATCATATACAACACGTAGCATAAAATATTGAAAGTGCCCAACGGAGTTGCAAGGTCCATCATCTTCATCATCACCATCTTCTTCTTTAAAGTGTGCGTCAACTTGTAGCCGGATCAGAGCCCCAAGTAAGGGTGGCCGAGTAGGTTCAACGAAAACTTGAAAACATAAGTTGAAACGTTTCCCCGTGTTGCATAACCAGGGCATGAAATAACCCCTACTATGATATATAACCCCTACGAGGATATAACCCCTACTGAAATAACCCCTACTGATATAACCCCTACTAGTGATTTAGAAAATGAAAACATTTCTTGTACATTTGTTAATTTAGTAGAGGTTAATTCCATTCGTATGAAAAAAATAATTATGGAAATAATGAGTTATGGAACTTAAACCAACTAGTTTTCGTCAATTTTCTCGCTTTTGAGGACTTAGTACTTTCAATCAACAAAAAAAGGACACAAATCCACCAAAATAAAATGATACTAATCATATCATAATAGTATCAGATGGTGTCAGTATCATGTCTTCGGATCCAGTCATGATAATTCCTAGAAAACGCTAACACATTGCATCGACTCACATTGATGATATTTTGATCTACTCGAAGAGTGAAGAGGATCATGCCAAGCATCTGAGAATTGTGTTATCTGTGTTGAAAGAGAAACAATTGTATGCTAAGCTTTCTAAGTGAGAGTTTTGGTTGAAGGAAGTGAGTTTCCTTGGTCATGTAATTTCAAATAGAGGTATTGTTGTTGATCCATCGAAGGTTGAAGCTGTATCAAAATGGGAATCTCTGAAATCAGTTTTGGAGATTAGAAGTTTTCTTGGTTTGACAGGTTATTATCGAAAATTCATTGAAGGATTTTCCAAGTTATCTTTTCCATTGACACAATTGACTAGAAAAGGTTAAGCTTTTGTTTGGAATGTAAAATGTGAAGAAAGTTTTCAAGAGCTTAAGAGAAGGTTGACGACCGCTCCTGTTCTGATTTTTCCGAACTCGACAGAATAATTTGTTGTGTATTGTGATGCTTCATTGATGGTTTTGGGTGGTGTGTTGATGCAAAATCATCAAGTTGTAGCATATGCTTCAAGGCAACTTAAAGTGCATGAGAGAAATTATCCGACGCATGACTTAGAGTTGGCTGCTGTTGTGTTTGTGTTGAAACTTTGGAGACATTACTTGTTTGGATCGAGATTTGAGGTGTTTAGTGATTACAAGAGTTTGAAGTATCTCTTTTACCAGAAATAATTGAATGCGAGGCAAAGGAGGTGGTTAGAACTTTTGGAGGATTATGATTTTGGTTTGAATTACCATCCAGGTAAAGCAAATGTAGTAGCTGATGCATTGAGTCAGAAATCCTTGCATATGTCGATGATGATGGTGAGAGAGTTAGAAATGATTGAGCAATTTCGAGATTTGAGTTTAGTTAAGAGACTTCTTATGGAGTTAAGCTTGGTATGTTGAAGCTTACTAGTGGTATTCTTGATGAGATTCGAGAGGGTCAGAAATCTGATTTGAGTTTGGTAGATCGATTGACTTTAATCAATCAAGGTCGAGGTGGCGATTTTCGGATTGATGAAAATGGTATCATGAGATGTCGTGATCGAGTTTGTGTTCCAGATATTGCCGAATTGAAGAAGAGTATTCTCGAAGAAGGGCATCATAGTGGATTGAGTATTCATCCGGGAGCTACTAAAATGTATCAAGATTTGAGGAAAGTATTTTGGTGGCCTTGTATAAAGAAAGATATTGTAGAGTTTGTGTATTCTTGTTTGACTTATCAGAAATCGAAGATTGAGCATCAAAAATACTGATCTAACCCCTACTAAAATGATCTAACCCCTACTAAAATAATCTAACCCCTACTGATCTAACCCCTACTAAAATGATATAACCCCTACTATATCTTTGTTAAGTGAAAATTCTACCGTCATTGATTATGAACCTACTGAAAATAATGAGTAACCCCTACTAAAATAACCCCTACTGATCTAAACCTACGGATCTAACCCCAAGAAACGAGTTGAAATTTTATGAATTGGAGACGGTGAAGGTAGAGACTCGACTTGGAGATTTAGACTTGCTAAAATTTCAGCATATTTCTCAACAATCAGATTATCTCGTTCTTGATGTACCGAACGACCACTTGCCCCGTTACATTGGAGTAAGAAGCAACTTTCACCCACTTGGTGAAGTAACAGATTAAAACGTTGCCAGTTTGAAGAAAGGAGGATCGTCGTCAATATTGGGGTTGATGCATAGATCAAGAAAAGAGGGTCTTCTTCAACACGAGGGTTGATGCATAGATGAAGAAATGAGTTTCTTCATCAACACGGTCCCCCCTTCTTGATACGAATCAACCCTCTTGCTGGCGATGATCCTTGTAAGGCAACGAGGAAATGAATTCAAATCGTGATCTGCAGGGTATCAAGTGTTATCGAGATTTTTCCTTTCATTTTTTGAGTTTTAATTTTTCATTTTCTAGAATTTAAGTGATGAAATGATGAATGTTAAAAACACAGTTCAAACTAAATCAAGAATAGTAATGCTTTTTATCTTATGGAAATAATATAATTAAAGCTTTATTTTTAGGGACATGTACGATTTCAAATGAATTTAACTTAAATGTTTCAAGACAAAAAATTTAAACCAGACTACAAAAGGGAGACAATTGATACACCTACTTTTCTTGATTACTTTTCAACATATATTTCAGTAATAAACAATTTCAAAAAACTTTAACTCGTTTCAAATCTTTAACCCAAAAGTCATACACATTATCTGCTAAAAAAGTGCTCCTACATGATATTAGTAATTTATATATAGCAACCATACAAATTGGTTTTTAAGTGCTCCTACATGAGTTCCGGTCTTGGATACCTACCACTAGGGTTGTACTCATTTAACTCCTTCAGAACTGTAGCTACTGCATCATGCAGCTCATTCCCGAACTCATCCTTCAAACTTTTCAGCTTTTCATCTTCTTCGTCTAAAATTTCCTACGTGATATATCTAACATATATTAGATCATGGTCCATGCAGTTCATAGCAGGGAAACAACATACCAAATAAGTGCTAACAACAACAAGTTTCTAGTAAATATATCCCTACAAAATACCAATAACATACCATGCTTCGTAATTATTAAGAAGTTGTGCATTATGTGTTTAGGGGATAAATTTATCCAAAGGAGTGTCTTAATAGAACTATTAAGAAAATAAATTAAATTTAACAAACAAACATAATTCATGAAGTCATTGTACCTTGGAGTTCCCTTCTTCACCAGTTACAACTTTGAACGGATGCGAACTTGGATCTTTAAGACATTCTTCCCACTTTGAGCACCACTTGGTTGCTTTCACAGAAATTATATCACGAGTAGTCTTCTTTGGGCATCCAATCCACTGTGAACAAGGAGAATAAATTACTTGAACAAAACAAACAATGAAATCATGGCAGCAAAGCAACAGTGACAAACTACCTGAACTTATTTTGCTTGATGTTTAGGACTTTAGGTATTAGATACCCTATGATTGAACCAGTATGAAACAATATGACAAATTAACTAAAAATGTAAAAAGAAAATCTGCTCTTTTCATAGACCTGACCAGATTCTACCAATTTTCACCTAAAATGTGAAACTTTATGAATTAAAATCATCATCTTTGGACGCAAACAACTGGATAGTAAACCGATGTCCTGAGTATTGAAGTTCAAATAGAGGGATAACCTGAAGTTGCTTATGGAGCATTCTGAGAGCAAAGCACACACGTTTCTGAAACTAACTCTATGTATTAAAGTTCAAATAGAGGGATACCATTCTTTTCTCTCTCACGAAGACCTCACCCTCACCAACACTCTATTTCCCTCAAACCGTTCCTCATCAAATTGAAAACTCTACTCTTGGATGCAAACCCAATTCATGTTGATTTCTATTAAGATTCAATTATCTCTTAAGAGCACTCAAGAACAAATTATAGCTTCTAAAGTCCATTCTCAAGCCATGGGGCTGAAGCCCTCTTTCAATTTCAACTTCTATATTCTTCAAAATCAGTTCATGCATGTGTTGGATTCTCTAAATTATGGAACTTGTGGGGGGTTAAGGAACCAAGATTATGGGCTGACAACTAGGAATGGAATCCTTGAGTGTAATAAAGAAGCAAGATAGTTTGAAGATAAGAATTATTGGTGAAGCTTGAAAGGATTTGAAGAACTGGACAGATTTGGAATGGTGCTGGTTATTGTGTGAAAATTATTAGATAACAAGTTTGTTTGAAGTTAAGAGATGCAACAAATTATCAGACAAGTTGCTGATTGAAAAATAGCTTGGCTGCATAGAAAACTAGGAAGAGGTGAAGGCTTGGATTCAAGTAGCTGGAAAACACAATAATCTTAGCTTGAAGCTGCTGCACTTTACAGGTGGGTTTCTTTAAGTAAAGTCATGGCAACCATAAGACCAAAGCATAGGGTTTTTAATTTATTCATATGATTAGTAATTTAGACAACTCATAAATAAATTAATTATGAAATTAGACTAATTCCTATTGCATGTGACTGTGTTTGGTTGTATCTATGATGGTTAGAATGTTAGAAATGCTTAGAGACAATTAGGGACTATTTTAGAACTATGTTTTCTGCATATTTTACCCTTTATCACGATTTTGCAACTGTGCAAGACTAGTTTGTATCGGTGCAATCAGCCCAGAACAAGTATAATGGGCAAAATTGGGCTTGTAGAATCGGTGCATCATCATGATGAATCAGTCTAACATGAATCCCTTCTAAGGAAACTAAAACAGGCTAAAATAAAACAAGGAAGAAGCGATCCGATAATCCAAGACAGGACAGCAAACTTATGGACAGAAAACTTATGGTTAGAAGGGATTCATTCTAGAAAGGATTCATGTTAGAAGGGATTCATTCTAGAAGGGATTCTCGTTAGAAGGGATTCATGTTGAGAATCCCTTCTAGAATGAATCCCTTCTAAGGAGAATCCCTTTTAGTTTAAGGAGAATCCAAGACAGGAAAGCAAACGTATGGACATAAAACTTATGGTTAGAAGGGATTCTAGTTAGAAGGGATTCATGTTAGAAGGGATTCTGGTTAGAAGGGATTCATTCTAGAAGGGATTCAAGGGATTCATGTTAGACGGGATTCTGGTTCTAGAAGGGATTCATGTTAGACGGGATTCTCCTTAGAAGGGATTCATGTTATAGAAGGAATTCATGTTAGAAGGGAATGTTAGACGGGATTCATTCTAACCAGAATCCCTTCTAGAATGAATCCCTTCTAACATGAATCCCTTCTAGAATGAATCCCTTCTAACATGAATCCGTTGTAACATGAATCCCTTCTAACATTAATCCCTTCTAGAATGAATCCCTTCTAACATGAATCCCTTCTAACATTAATCCCTTCTAGAATGAATCCCTTCTAACATGAGTCCCTTGTAACATGAATCCCTTCTAGAAAATGAATCCCTTCTACTATGAATCCCTTCTAACATGAATCCCTTCTAGAATGAATCCTTTCTAAGGAGAATCCCTTCTAACATAGAATGAATCCCTTCTTAGAAGGGATTCTCCTTAGAAGGGATTCATGTTAGAAGGGATTCTCCTTAGAAGGGATTCATTCTAGAAGGGATTCATGTTAGAAGGGATTCTCCTTAAAATGTAGTTAGAAGAGATTCTCGTTAGAAGGGATTCATGTTGAGAATCCCTTCTAAGGAGAATCCCTTTAAAATGTATTCATTCTAGAAGGGATTCTGGTTAGAATGAATCCCTTCTAACATTCCTTTCTAACATGAATCCCTTCTAGAACCAAAATCCCTTCTAACATGAATCCCTTGTAGAATGAATCCCTTCTAAGAATGGATTCATTCTAGAAGGGATTCATGTTAGAAGGGATTCTCCTTAGAAGGGATTAATGTTAGAAGGGATTCATGTTGAGAATCTCTTAGAAGGGATTCATGTTAGAAGGGATTCGTGTTCTAGAAGGGATTCATGTTATTAATGTTAGAAGGGATTCATGTTGAGAATCCCTTAGAAGGGATTAATGTTATAAGGGATTCATTTTCTAGAAGGAATTCTCCTTAGAAGGGATTCATGTTAGAAGGTATTCATGTTCTAGAAGGGATTCATGTTAGATGGGATTCATGTTCTATAAGGGATTCATGTTCTAGAAAGGATTCATGTTAGAAGGGATTCTGGTTCTAGAAGGGATTCTGGTTCTAGAAGAGATTCATGTTAGAAGGGATTCTGGTTCTAGAAGGGATTCATTCTAGAAGAGATTCATGTTAGAACGTATTCATTCTAGAAGGGTTTCATGTTAGAAGGAATTCATGTTATAAGTGATTCATGTTAGAAGGGATTCATGTTAGAAGGGATTCATTCTAACAAGAATCCCTTCTAACATGAATCCCTTCTAGAACATGAATCCCTTCTAGAACTAGAATCCCTTCTAGAACATGAATCCCTTCTAACATGAATCCCTTCTAGGTATTAAGATAGTCGTAAAGGTAGAGTGGAGAGAGACATCGATTCATTAATGGTTATGGTGGAAATAAAACCCGACAATCACAAAAATAATTACACCTCTTATACTCCTTCCCTTCCGGCTACTATGTACTATGTACTATGTGTGAACTGAATCCTGTTCAGATTTCCTGTCTTTCCAACCACACATTACATGCCAATCATTAATGCCTCACCATTTGTATTCTACTACAAGAAATAAAAGAACCAACATGGAGATGATTTTATCATAGACTAACCGGAAAGTAAGCCTACCAAACTCTAAAACCTAATGTTTTAGTTACATATGCATACTTGTAGCCTTTTTTTTGTCTTAGTAGGGGTTATCTCAGTTGGGGTTAGTAGGGGTTATCTCAGTAGGGGTTATCTATGTAGGGGTTATCTCATTAGGGGTTATATATCCTAGTAGGGGTTATATATCTCAGAAGGGGTTATATATCCTAGTAGGGGTTATATATCCTTTTCAGTAGGTTCATAAACAATGACGGTAGAATTTTCACTTAACAAAGATATAGTAATCTTAATATATTTTCCCTTGTTTGGGTCGAATTTATTTCCTCGTTGCCTCACAAGGATCATCGCCAACAAGACGGTTGATTCGTATCAAGAAGGGGGGACCGTGTTGATGAAGAAACTCATTTCTTCATCTATGCATCAACCCTCGTGTTGAAGAAGATCCTATTTTCTTGATCTATGTATCAACCCCAATGTTGACGATGATCCTCCTTTCTTCAAACTGGTAACATTTTAATCTGTTACTTCACCAAGTGGGTGGAAGTTGCTTCTTACTCCAATGTAACGGGGCAAATGGTCGTTCGGTACATCAAGAACGAGATAATCGAATTGTTGAGAAATATGCTAAATCTCCAAGTCGAGTCTCTACCTTCACCGTCTCCAATTCATAAAATTTCAACTCATTTTGTTTCTTGGGGTTAGATCAGTAGGGGTTATTTTAGTAGGGGTTACTCATTATTTTCAGTAGGTTCATAAACAATGACGGTAGAATTTTCACTTAACAAAGATATAGTATGCAAAGATGGTCCTAAGATTGAGGTAAGGGAGCTACCTAATGTCATCATGCATAGTTTAAGAACCTAATGTCTATCATAATATCTCTTGAACAAGAGAAATTAGAGATCCTAAGGGAAAAAAGACAAAATAAGAAGAAGAAGAAAGAGCATAAAAATGCAAGAATGCAAACATGGAATGCACACATAGAATGAAAGTGAGGGAGGAAAATAGTGTGGGGCAGTAGCCTCCACAAGCTCATCTCAACCAAGCATGCATATGAGAAATGAAAAGAAGAAAGAAGAAGGAGATGCACAAATGGGAAACACACAAATGCACTAAAAAAAAGTGGGATGAAATGGCCTAAACCAAACAACACCAACCACAAAGCAAAAGCCAAAACAAATGAAAGGAAAAGCAAGCCTAATCTAAAGTGAGGATGGGAGGCTATATGAGGACATCAAGGAACTCATAATATGCACTCAAACACAAGCATCACAAACAAAATGCAAAGAAGCACAAAGAACACAAAGAAAGTCCTCAAGGATTCATCACTTTAGGTATGCTTCAAATACCTCCAAAGGAGGGACCAAGCCACCTTAAATGAGACTCCAAAGTCATGGGACAAAAGGTAAGATGAGAGAAGAAAGATCAAAAGCAAAATCAATCACATCACAAGAAAATGCAAACACATACACAAAAGAATGCAAACATGCTACACATGGAAACCCTAATTGGAAACTCCAAAAGAAACACACAAATGAACAAGAAAAACACAATTTCATGACCTAAAATTGAGCAAGCAGCAACCTTAACATGCTAGAAACATGAATCAAAAGGATTTGAGGGCTCAAAGGATCCACAAGTGTCATCTCCAAAGCAAACTAGGTCAATGTGTATGTATGAACCTCCCTTTGGGGTAACTTGACTTGCAAGTTACCTAAAAATTAGGAAAATAGTTCAAAAATAACCAAATAAAATGCAAGAGGTACATAAAGATATTGGTAAACAGAGGCCAAAATATTACAATCAATGTTACTTCACAACATCATCATAGAAATTGATTCACAAGGGTGCTCCATTGTGAAGAAGGATTGTCGAGGGTCAAATAAAATGCAACAAAGTCAAACCAAAACTCAACCAAATAGGGGGAAAATGGTCCTCAAAAATCACTCAAATCATCATGGATATGAGGATTGATTTTCAGTCA